CTTTCCCCCCCCCTCCCCCCCCCCCCCCCCCGCCAAAGCTCTTGATTATCGTTTCCCCGTGGCATTTTCTCTCTGCTTATGCAGAGCACTCTCATTATTAGTATCCTCTGTGTGAACCCCTGCCCCTCCCCTGCTCTCCCATCTCACTGATTGGTTGAGGGACTGCTGTAGGCTTAGTTTTTCAAGCCAAGCAGCCAATTTCTGTGCAGATTTTTTTTCTTTTTTTTTAAATCGACAGACTGCTGCATCTGAGGACAAGAACTAACAGTGTTACCAAGGGAAGGATTATAGATAGGAGTGGCTGGTATGGGACTCTGGTTACACTCTGAAGTACCCTCTGACTTACCAGGGTAGAAATACTGAGAGGTGGAGTAGGAGGGACAGAGACCCTTCTTTCATATGCCCCATGTGTTGAATTGCTCTGGGAAAATGTGGTTTGGATTTGGAGCCCTGTCTTTTGGCTGGGATGTGGCCCCATTTAAACCTAATTTGTTCCTAGAGAATGATTTGTACAGAAGGAGCAGCTCTGAGATACTGGGATGAATGCAGGGTTAGGCATTAGGAGGTGGCAGTTTTATCCTTGACTGTCACTGTCATTGTTTGACCTTGGATTGCTTTGGACCTCAGTTTCCACATCTGTTAGATGCTGAAAGAGGTCTGATCAGGAGCCCACAGAAACTGGGCAGTACTTCTACCTGCTTTAGGTCTCTCTGCTGCTCGTTCTCCAACTGCAGTAACCCAAGCTTTCTGCTGTGGGTCTAACTGCCTTTCTTTCTCGTTGGTACAGTTACTGCAGGAACTACCTTGGGCATTAATGGAGCCATGGAGCTGCTTTTCAAAGTCATCACTCCTTATACCAAGAAGCACACCAGGACGGTCAGGTAGGGAGCTGATTTGGGCTTGTCCAGCTGCAGCAACTATGCCAAGTATAGGGCTGGATGAACAGGTTTAGCTCAGAGCTATGCTGTTGGGACCCAGATCTGGATCCAGATGCTTCTAGACACTTGCAGGTGGCTGGAAAGAGCTTGGTTCCACCTGTAAAGGAAATCAGAACTGACCAAAAATGTCACTGCAAATACAAAATGAAGGATTTCAGAGGTGCAGAAAGGAATTGCTACTAGGCCATGGTTGTACTTGGTGTTTTATACCCGGGGGGGCCAGCCTGCGGCATTAGGGCAGCCCATGTGAGGAACGTGGCCAATCGGGGAGGTAGTACAACAACAGATAGAGCAGGTAACAGAAAGCAATCCAGCAAATCGGGCAGGGAGCAGAAGATGGAGCAGTAGACTAGGCAGGGGAAGAGGATGGGCTTTTGGGGAGGGTATGGGGCTCATTTGTTGCACATCTGCCAAAAAGGTTGCCCCCCCACTGTGTTTTATTATCATGCTAGGGCAGGGGTTTTCAACCTTTTTTAACGACTGTACCCCTTCTCTCAATGTTCCAGCTTGTGCCCCCTTTATTATTTGTTTTTCTTGTTTTTAAGGGGTGGGTGTGTGCAGACTGAGGTCCCCGTGGTAAGGGAGAGGGTGGGGCTGGGGCTGCACAGCCGTGAGCAGCTCATTCTGGAGGCGTGGGGTGGAGGGGTGGCTCCTGCGAGTGCATGCACCCTAGGAGGGCATGGGGGCATGTGCCTCTAGATCTGTGCTCAGGGTGGGGCAGACTGGCCCAGTGGTGGGGAGGCAGTGGGGCTGGGGGCTGCCCAGCCAGCGTGGGGCACAAGACTAAGCTGCATGGGGGGGTGGCTCCTACAGCTGTGCACACCCCAGGAGGGCACAGGGCATGTGCTAACAGATCTGTGTGTGGGGCAGGGTGGGCTGCCACTGCAGGCTGGGGCCAGTGCCAGGCTCTTCCCAGCAGGGGGCTGGGCTGCACTCAGGGTAGGTGGCGGTAGCACTGGGAGGGGGGCTTTGGGGGCTATGGCGAATTCTGGGGTGGCTGCAACCCTTCCCCACCCCCAATACCTTCCTCCCAGCACCTCTTCCTCCTGCCCCAAGTGCTGCCTGGCCCAACCACCACCAGGAAGAGCCCAGCACAGCTCCGGCCCCAGCCTGCAGCAGCAGCCCACCCTGCCCTGTGCGCAGATCTGGGGGCACATGCCCCTGTGCCCTCCTGCGGTGCTCGCAGTGGCAGGATCCACCCCCCATGTGGCTCAGTCAGCTGCTCCACCTTGGCTGGGCAGCCCCAGCCCCAGCCCCAGCCCCACTCCCTTCCCCACTGCTGGGGTCTCGATCTGCCCCTTCCCTCACAACACACTTACCAGCCAGACCCAGCTTCTCCCTTGATGGCCTCCATACTGCGCTGCAGCTGCACACACAGAGGTGGCATTTATCAGCCCCATTAGGTCTGCGTGCCCCCTATGACTTTTAACTACCCCTAGGGGTCTGCGTACCCTCAGTTGACAACCACTGTATTAGGGACTTGTGTTCAGGTCCCAGCATCAATTCCCTGCATCCCCACGTCCGGTGGTAACAAGCCCCTTGTATCCATCTCCAAGAGCCTCTCGCCACAATCTGGCCTGAGAGAAATGACAACTGACAGCTCGGGGTCAAACCACTATCAGATCTGGGGGCTTAAAGAAATGTTCCTCTAGGTCAGATTGACAGGGCGGGGGGGCAGGGTAGCTTTTCTTCTAGGCATGGGGTGTTATCCTTTTCCTAGATACTCTCTGAGTGTTTATAAACTGATTACTTGTCTTCCAATGCAGTGGTGGCTGTTGGCGTGTTGTTGGGTGCTCCTGGTGCTTGTGGTTTGTGCTTGTCTGTGAGGGTTTGGAGTGGACCGTTTTGGGGCATTTTGCAATAAATGGTTGTCTCTGAGCTGGGCAAATGGATCTGATGGCTTGGGAGGCCCCTGCTATTCCTTTGTTCCTTGAAGCCAAGGTTTGTCTCATAACTCTCAGATGTGATTGGACCAAACAGGGGTTTCTGGCAGGGAGGTGGGCTGGGATCCTTGTCACTCCAGATAAAATCCTTGAGTCAGGTATAGCCTGGGGTTATTTCTAGCACATGCTGACTATTGTTTCAAAGTGACTTTTCATGTAGAGAACAGCCCTGCCTTGCACTTCTGGCTTGAAACTGAAGTTAGCCATGCAGCTGTCTGTCCCTGACCAGTTCTCGGGGCAAGATTTACGAAGCCTACACACCTATGATGGAGGGAACACGTGGGTGAAGACAAACAGCCTTGGCTTGGCACCAACCCAGCTTGTCACAAGCCATAGAGAGGTTGCGTGCTTCCATGCATGTTTGTACAGCGCAGAGCGTGCACAGCCTGTCTACCCAGGCAAGGTCGTGCACTTTGGTGTTTCGGATGCACAAGCTCAGCCAGACGTGTTCTCGTGTTTGCTTGTCGACTGCAAAGCACATGCTCATGAGCCTACATGCCCTGAGAGGGAGGGGAAATTAGCCCGCACAGAGCCATGGACTGGTCCTTGATTTTTATCCTGAGTGGAGCTAGTTCAGGGATTTCTGCACCACACTGCTGCGTATTGTGGACATACCCTTAGGGAATCGGGCAGGAGCCTATGGCGCTAGATTAAGTGTGTGGCTCTTGTGTTGGTGCTGATGGTAGTACTGTGGCAGATAAGCTGGGTATAGACTAGACGGCTGTAGGCTGAGAAATCTCCAAAGGAGAAGAGCAATTAGGTATGTATGACTTCTACCCAAATCCTGGGTTTGCTATCCTAGACAAAAGCAGGGGTCCAGCATCCTGTCTAGTCAACAGCAAATACGTGTTACTGTAGAAGAGGGTGGCCCTTTAAAAGAGGCTTACACATTGGCCTGTGCTGTTATCGTTTTGGCAATGCATCGCCTTGCCAGCACTTGACAATAAGATTTCTGAGGACTTTTGAACTGGCCTGCACCAATGGCCTTGTTCGGTGCTTGGTTCTTAAGACCTCAAGTGGGTCCAGCTGATGCATACAGCTGCCTTTGTTAGCACAAATCAATTCACTTATGCTGTGGTTGCATTTTTGGCTTTTCAGGGGACTGTGAAGAGCTTCAAGCAGCTTTGCAGCTTCTGCTTGTCTCTTGACAAGGCACCTGTAATCCCTGGAGAACTTTACTCCTAGGGTGCGGGGAGACGAGGATGTTTTCTGCAAAGTGGTTCTGTTCTCACGTGCTCTGAAAATATTGTCCCCTGTATTCCCAGGGACATGTTGGAGCACCCTGCAGCATTCCTCTCGGGCCTTGGATTATGATTTATCTCTCTAAGACTCAGGGCCATGGGGGAATTGGTTTACATGATGCGGCATGGCCTAGAATGCATTTCCTCCAGAGCACCTGGGCTCAAATACTGTAGCAATTGCAAATGATTGATGTGTCCATGTCCACACTTAACTTGGAAAGCAAATTCCACTCACTCCCCTGCTGTCCTTTCCGCTGAATTGTTCGTCTGTGATTGGAATAGCGTTAGTCACGGTAGTACGATCATCTAGCTCTGCACTCTGTAGCTGGGTTACTGAGTGTGACTGGCCCTGCACTGGTATCAGTTCAGAAGTATAATGTGGGACTGACTAGGACTCTCTTTTATTTTTTATTGTGAATTTTGTACTAGTGAAAGATGCCATGGAAAATGAAATGCTCAGCCCACAGCACAGGCAGAAGGAATGCAAGCTTCCTTCTTTGTCCCCTACCCTGCTCGGAAATAATGAAGTCTTCGGTCTCCGTTGCTCAGTCACTTACTGCATCTCTGCTGAAAGTCACTTTCTGGGTTTTCTGAAGTAGCTTAGGAAATGAGTTGAGGCTATAAAATTCATTCCATATATTGGCAGAAGGGAAAATGAAGGGCCTTCCAATAAAACTTGGACTTGATTTCTTCTTGATTTTTTTTTTTTTTCTAGATTTGTTTCACAAATCCAAATCCTAACAGCTATTTGGGACTTTTCTTCCTTTTATTTAAAAAAAAAAAAAAAAAAATCCGTTTATAAAAAAATCAAAGTTTGCTTAGCAACACTTTCAATTTTGCCAAAATTGTTTTTACTTTGCCCCCCTTCCTTTCCACTGGAAAAATCAAACCAGAATATTTTGTTTTGATTTAGGTGAACTCCAAGCCACATTTTTTTTTTTTTTTTTCTTTTGGGCTGTTTTGTATTCAGCTGTGTCTGCCTGAGCTGCCATGCAATCAGGACTTGTAGTAGATGATCTATTTTATTAGACCAAGAAGATTTTTGCAAAAAATAATTCTTTAATTGCAAGCTTTTGGGCACAAACACCCTTCATCAGGCACTGGAGAAAAACTGTAAAAGTTCTCCTGGGTAGAAATGAAAGTTCATATTTCACAGACGAGCCAATAGGTGCAAAACTCCCCTGGACAGTCAGTTCCTAGCTGGTGTGGAGCCTCTCGCCTCCTGTGAGGATCTGTGATGATGCAAGTTACCTTGAAACAAAGGCAGGAGCAGTGTCTTGGGTTTCAGGGGGTCACAGTTGCTTCCTGCTTGGCAAAACATGAAGATTTCACTTAAAAAAATGAGCTGCCATGGTGCTTCTTAGAAGCTGTAGGTCAAATAGGTCACTAAACCTATACCCCCATGAAGCGCTTGTCCCCATTCTGCTTTGGTACATCGTGGGAGATGTAGTTCAGCCCCATAGCTAGCCCATAGAGAAGGAGGCATGGGGACTACAAACTATCATTTACTTGAGGTTTAATTAACATGATCATTAATCAGCAGGAGTCTGGTAGACCCCCAGGGAGCCTTCCTAGAGTCCATCACTGGTGTTGTATTTTAACACCAAGGAGTTAAGAGCAGTGAGTGTCTGCACTGGAAACGGCTTCCTGTTCATCAGTGGAAACACTGTGAACATCAGCCTAAATCTGTGCTGGTTTAAGGGCCGTTTGCAGCCAATTTAAAGGCATTATTTTTCTCTCTCACTCATAAGGGACTGAG